ACTTGAAGGTGAATTTTATTTAGAAATCTAGAACTAACGTTTGTTACTTCGTCACGTTTTTTCTAATTAATCTGTCGTTGACACTTGCAGCCAGAGAATATAATGTGTAGAACACGAACCTCTCATCAAATCAAGCTCATCGATTTCGGTCTAGCTCAAACACTCAAACCAGACACACCGATCAGAGTCCTCTTTGGTACACCAGAATTTATTCCACCGGAAATTATAAGCTACGAGCCGATCGGCACCGAATCTGATATGTGGAGTGTCGGTGTAATCTGCTATGTTCTGTAAGTGCTTTCATCGACCCATTGCAAAATTTTTAATCATTAGCAAATTGATCGATCAAGTGACTAAAAGTTCTGAGCTGTTTCGTGTTAATTGAAATATCTATAACTTCCTTATTTTTACGAATTCGGGGAAATCCTTCTGCAGGCTTCATTTAGAAACCCTCTACTTTCAGAAAATCCCCCAAAAAAAAAAAAATCATTTTTTTAAAAGGTCAAAATTAGAATACCCCTTTAAATTTCATAGGATTCTTGTTGAATAACTGTTAGCGAATCTAATAAATGAAATTTCATATCGCAGCCATTAAACTTGATAATTATACTAAATAATGAGAAAAATCAAAAAATTTCAGGATCGAAGATTTTTAATATCAACTTTAACTTTTACGTGTTTATTCGTACAATTTTGTTGCTTTGAATAATTTTTCCACAGTGATGGATAATACTGTTCCTTTTTCATAAGACACACGATGCATAATCAGCCACATTCGATAAGTAGCGTAAGACGCCCACGGTGCATCGTTCATTAAATATACTTGACCTTAGTCTCTAAAAATATATCAAACGATAAACCTGATTGTTAATGTTCAGACTGACCGGTTTGTCACCGTTCATGGGTGATAATGACGCTGAAACGTTCGCCAACATCATTCGAGCCGACTATGACCTGGAAGATGAGGCGTTCGACGCGATTTCGAACGATGCTAAGGACTTTATCACCGGTCTGCTTATCAAACGAAAGGAGTACGTGTTTGATAAATAATTTCAGCTATTTTTCACGCTATTCGTATGAGAATCGTACGTCTAATTGTCACGTGAATGGATCTGTAGATTGCGAATGTCGGCGAGACAGTGTTTAGAGCATTCTTGGATGGCGCAACACGCGGAAGCAATGAGCAGGATAGCCTTGCCGACAGAAAAATTGAAGAAATTCATCGTACGAAGAAAGTGGCAGGTAAGAGTCCCTGTAGTAGTCGGTTTTACGTGTTTCTTCTTCACTTGTATGATTGTTGCGTTTCGTTTGACCCTCTTTGACGCTCGTCTATGTACTTGAAATACTACGTAAGGTAAGTACTTCGATATTGAAGCAGAAAAAATTTGTTGTAGAAACATCTCTCTCGAGAAGATAATAGAAAGCAACTTAATCTGTTAACCGATAATATTTCTCAGTAAAAAATTGAATCTCTCGAGTATGTAGTTAAAGATGAATGAAAAATTGAAACGATTGTTTCGTTCCCTCTTGTGATGATACAATGATACAAACTCGCAGTAATTCTGTAGATAAAAATTTTTGTTCGAAACTTAAATTTAACTAAAAATTAACTCTTGGACCACTTCTTTACTGAAAAAGTGAAAATTTGCACATTCATGATTTCAACACAAGCGAGATGGTACATTTTAAATTTAAAAAACAGTTGAAATTTTCTATCATTTATACTATAAATTTTGCAAAATTTGAAAAATTGATTAGAAATTATTATCGCATGATTTTCAAGCCCGCTTCAAATTCCATAATAACTATCGATCACTCGAGTACCGATCCAACTCGTATCTCTCAGTTAACAGATTAAAGCGCCGACGAAAGATCATCTCCATAGGAACTATAATCTCCCAATTTGCATATTAATCTCAGCATGCGTTTGATCGTGTCGCGTGCGCGTGTGTGCACTTTCGTTTTTGTTGCGATAGAAAACAGGGAACGCCATTCGTGCACTTGGAAGGATGGCAATTCTTTCGGCGAACAGCAGACGAAGTCCAACGGCGACCGCGGAATCTTCGCCGACCTCGGAACCCTCGAATCCAATCGTATCACCGCGAACGATCGACTCCGAGTCCTCGCTCGACGAGCATAAACCTTCCGACGTTGGGAACGCGATACAGAAGAACGAGAGAAGTCCAACGGAGGTGGACGCACGAGGTAGAAACGTGTATTCCTTCTGTTACAAAACGGAGATGAAGATCTTGCCGGAGGAAACGTTAGACTCGGCTCTAGAAGAGGAAATGCTCGCGCCATCGGAGCTTGACGAGTCGTTGTTGAAAAATGAAGAGACGACGGATCACGCTGGATCGTGTTCTCGGGGAAATGAATCCGTATGGACCCGAGAAACTGACACCAGTGAGAAGACCGAGGTCCAGGCTGAACTTCACTCAGAAAGGCTGTTTCCTATGGAGAGGATCGAAGAGGAGACGGAGATCGTCACGGAATGTCAGATCGAACAGCGCATTCTGATAACGGAGGAGATCTTGACGAGCATCGAGGAGAAGAATCTGATCAATTTCGAGAGTGATTTGAAATTTTCTCGAAATCTTGCTCAAGATGAGAACGCTGAAACGTCGACTATCGACGAAGAGACTCTTTCTTCGGAAACGATATCTAAGGAAGATCCAACGTGGCCGATCGATGAGAAAGAAGTGAAAGAGGAAATGATGACTGAAATTGAGAAGGAGCTGAAAGAGAGAACTGATCAAGAATCGAGTGTGAACTCGCAGAAATCGCGCCGAGTCTTCAGAGGAGATTCTCGGGATTCTGGAATCGGAGACTGCATCTCGAATCTGTCCAGCTCTTCGCAGCAAGTCAACGAATTGGGGATTTCGTCGATCAAAGAGGAAGACACGGACAACGAGAATAATAACGGTAATGTTAAAAGTGTGTTGCAAAAGGTGGAACAATTTGAGAGTCGTAGAACATCGATGGAAGAAGTGGGTGAAATAACGACGGGGAACGGGGAGGATCCAAAGAGGAATACCAAAGAAAATGTCGAGGTAGCTACGCTGAGTGGTGTGACTAAAGCTTCGCGTGAAATTAATCGACAGCATGAAGGTGTGTGCAATGTGCAATTAAAAGAAAAGAAAAGAAAAAGAAATTTTTATTTTTAAATAGTAATTACACTTATGAAAAATATTTTGGCGGATTACATGTATTGTTTTTGATGTTCGTAGTGCCCAACGATATTGAGGACCCAAGGGTATTAATCGGACGCATTCGAAGCAAGTTCGTACCGACCGGAAATGTGAGTCGTACTGCAAAGCTGTTCGAAAAGGAGGCAGCAGCGTCGAAATCATCTACAAACGTCCAACAAGTATCTCAACGCGAATATCCTGCAGTGACTGTGGCAGCAGGGAAACCTCACAACGAGAGGATACAGAAGGCTTTCGCTTTTTGGAACAAATAGACCTTGCATGGAGTGCGAAAAAAAAAATGAGTCATCACCGACAATACTTGGAAATTAATCGGTATTTCTCGCGAATATTCAAGGACATATAATAATCGTTCGACTGAAACTCAACACGCGGTATTGTACGCGGTGAAAGTGTTGTCTTTGTGTTCTTTTTTTTTTCTTTTTTTTTAAACTTGAAGGACAGTAATACGTAGTACATACTTTTTTAAACATCGAAACAAACGCACACGTGTTACCCGGTAGATGTATAACTGAACAAAGTGTCACACGGATTCATTAATAACGACGAGAAAAGAAACAAAAAAAGAGTAAAAAATAGAAAATTCATCGACGCGATAGCGAGGTTATGAACTTTTAACTTAAACAGTTTTAATCGTTAAAGAAAAAAAAAAAAGGGTATTTATTTAATAACATTTCTTATCGGTCCCCACGTAGTCTGAGGCGAATATTTACGATAACGTAGTTATTATTACATTTTATCTCATTGCCATTGTTAATCCGTTTCTTTTTTTTATCTTCTGATTTGAAATTACAGTACGAAATTTTATGACGCAATTGGTGGCGATCGAAACTCGACTTTTAACGTTAACGTTTTTTTTCTGTGTAGATACGTTCGATGATTTCGAGAGTTTCGTATAATAAGATATTCGTAAATATACGGCAAACGCTGAAAAAATAAAACGTTTGCTTGGTCGATGCGTGTAAATAGCTGTCAGTGATATTTTACAATCGTAGACACATAATATTGTATTTATTATTTCCTTTGCACCTTTTAGTTTTCTTGTGAACATGAGGAAGCGATTATATGTATTACTATAATAAGTAACATATGAATAAAAAAGAATAAAAGCAAAAATATTTACACTCCTCTATGTTATTCCTGTGTTGGTTTTTATCCAGTACATGTTGTCCAATACTGATTATTTGGTACTGAAACTATGCAGTGAAATAAAAAAAGGTTATTTAGAATGTTTTAATATAGGACAATGGACGAATATATATGAACAAATACAAACATTTTTAGTCACTGTGTTTTATATTTTTATTCGTTTTGACTTTAAAGTACAGAAATGTTCAAAGATTATAAAATCTAGCATTCAATATTCATACAACATATTGCTGGCCATATTAAGTATTAATTATAATTAACATTTGATAAATGGCAATATTATAAACATAATCAACAACTATATAAAACCGATCGCGATATATTTTTTAAAATTGTTAATATGCATTTAAGAAACGTGAGTAGAATTGTAAACAGTACAGATAGATACACATTGTACAAACAATAAACAACAATAAAATTACTCGTTGTATTCAAGTACAATATAGTAGAAGAGATTCCGGAGGCACGTTGTTTCTTCAAATATGATCGTATAAAAAATATAATTCAGTCATTTTGAAAGAGGCACTGTCTTGAACATTTGTAGCGTTTTAATAAGTGCGATCTAATTGAATCCATTACGTTTCGTTAGGAATGAAATGCATCTTCCGATAATTTGATGATTTAAAAAGTAGAATATCGTATCAAAAGTTAACGTTTCATTTTGTCCAGTATAGGGACGACCATGTCGAAAGATGGACGTTTTCCTGGATCTTCGTTCATACAAATTCTAATAAGCTTAGCAAGATGCGGTGAAATTCCCGGTGGTATACTAACACGTAAATCTTCCAATGCGATCTATAAAAGATACAAAAGAAAATACAATTAGTAAATTAAGAAATTGGGTTAAATTAATGATATCAAAATTTTAAACGAACTTTCATGCCACACTCCATTGGTGAAAGATCTGCAAATGGAACTTCTCTGGTTGCAAGTTCCCACAGCAAAACAGCGAAGCTCCACATATCACTGGCCTCGAGATTAATATCAGCTGGACGTTTATTCAAAGCTTCTGGAGACATCCACGCTGGTTCGTAAATGCGACCTACTTCTTGGAACGAAAATTTCGAATCCGCCATGTTTACACGAGCAGTCAAATCTTCGTCAATCTACAAACATAAAACTTACTCGTCACTAAAACTCGCAAGCAGCATAATAGTAATATGTACCAATGATAAAACAAGTATTACCATAATATGTTTACTATTGAGATGAAATCTACATCTGTTTTGTCTTTCGAGACCGTGAAGAAATGCCATAGCTCTGGCAACATCAAGAGCAAGTATAAGTGCACGTGCAGTATCAACAACAACGCCTGTTCCTCCATGTAAAAGCCTATGTAAACTACCACGCGCCATATATTGTGATACAGTCGCCAATTGCGGTGGTTGATTGACACAACCAAGAACGGGCAGCACATTAGGATGTGAAAAAATTCTTAATTTTGGAAATTCTTCATTAAAATCTCTTGATATTCGGGCCGTACATTCGCGTATATTCAAAATTTTTGCGACGATGTCATTATTTTGCCAATATCCTCGCCAAGTTTCACCACTCGGTGTACTAGCTAAATGAATGCGTAAAGATAAATCTGTCATGTTTATTCCTTTATGCCTTGACAATGTTGCATCACCTGCATGAAACAAATAGTATTAGTCATTTTTGTATTGATTAGTATTCATCAGCCTATGTAACATATTCTAACTTACGGCTTCTAGTTTTTAGACCTAGCCAACTTTGGTCCTTAAATTGAATTTTCTTTAAATCTTGTCCATTTTCTACTGCCAAGTCTACAAAATAGAAATTCATAATTGCAAATATATAGATCATTGACACAAGTATGAATAAAAAGTTTTTATCAACTATCAAATACCGTGTAATCTCTTAGCCAGAAGACCTCTTGCTTTATCTAAAGGAGTGTCACCATCTTTGTTTGCAATAGATACAAGAGCACCAGCAGCTACTAACTCTTCAGCAACTGCTTGATGTCCCCAAAAACATGCATAGTGCAGGGCAGTGTTACCATGCTCATTTGTGACATTAACATCAGCACGATTCCTAAGTAACTACAAATGTAAATTCCTTGTTAAATTCGTTATATCCTTTCAGAGCAAAGCATGATAGTAGTTTTACATGTTTTTTACTTTTTATATCTTTCATTGTGTACATATTTTTTTCTTTTATACTTCTTTTCAAACATACAATTACTTATATTTGGTTACCAATTGGACTATTTCCTTATGTCCATGTGCAGAAGCAAGATGAAGAGGAGTATCATCTCCTCTGTTAGTAGCATTAATGCGGGCTCCTCTGGTAACTAGCAACTCTGCCAATTTTAAATGTCCCTCTTTGCAGCACCAGTGAAGAGGACTGAATCCATGATCATCACTATACATAGAATATGAAATCATAAGTGAAAATGAACTGATACTACAATTTAATATAATGAACAAAATACAATTAATATAACAGAAAGTAGGTGTTACCAAAAATGAAAAAATATGAAACATCTCTAAAATATGTATTATTCATAGTCAATAATTTTAATATTAATACAAAATTTAAAATAGGTAAAAAGAGATGTCTAAAAAATCTCTTAAAAGGAAAGAAGAATAATGAAAACAAATTGTTCCAAATACTCAGAAGTAATATCGAATGGTACTTTTTGAAAAAGGAATTTTCTTGTATTTACCCTTGGTTCATGTCATGTTCAGTGTCATCCAGCCAAACACGCACTTGCATAGCATTTCCTTCACGACACCATTGAAAAATATCTTCCATTTTTTTCACTTATAAAATAAAATAAAAGAATTGTATAAATATTATGACGGGGGAGTGGCAGTGCTTCGTGCTCCAAAACACCGTAGTCGTCATGTACTAAATATAACCATATTTCCGCGCAAGCGACACTGGTACAAAAACTACATCACTTCGGTATACTTCACAGATACAGATTGACAGTGAGATTTTTATAGCAGTTCTACATTAATGAGACATTGAAATATTAAAAAATACGTTTATTTGCAATAACGTACAATATTTAATATAGCAGTTTGATTGTATTTCCACGAGTATAATTGTACGTGTGACCATATATGACGCGTGGAATCGCGTACTACCTCAACCAGGAGGCGGTTACTTCATACTCCCCACGTACTTCCACAGTATCTATAAACACAGACAAGATATAGAATAGATCTATCACCCAATATATTTTTGTGTCCCCGTCAAGAGGGCTCTAGAGCCCCATTACCATTTTCGTGTTACTTTCAACGTTACCGATTCAGCATAGAATAAGATTGCAACATTAACAGTGGTTGGAATTAGAACTAAATATGAAATTTCAAATAAAGTATAGGACAGGAGTATATTATAAAAGTATATACTATATTTCTAAATATGTAATATGTAAATAAAAAAGTATATTAGGTAGTTCGGAAAGTTCTATCGTTTCTATCGTAATTCGAAAAAAGAACCGCCGTCCGAATAGTTCCGAACGTTGCCGAACGTTGCCGACCACCGTTCTTAAACGCAGCAAGAATCATGTGTAAAAGGAACGTTTATGTTTAAAATAATTGTGTTTCTGTAAGTTGAAAGTGAATACAAGTGGTACCGAAAAGTGTATGTCGTTAATTTATTTTGCAATTCGGTGTTTTATATCGATTGAATTGTCGAGTTCTTAGCAGCAAAGATTGACATATTACAAAACGTCTGTACGTCTGAAATATTAAACGTTTGAAATACTGAACGTCTCTTCGAAATTTGTACTGTCAAAAACTTTAAACAAAGTGTTTCGTGTGACAATAGAGACCTTTTAAAGGCTAAAAATGATTACTGCGCAATTAAGATAGCTGCTCTCGAGAGTACTCTCAAAGAGTTTCTTGCCATAACAGCAAAGATTGACGTATTACAAGATGTCTGAACGTCTGAAATACCGAACGTCTGGAATTCTGAACGTCTCTTCGAAATTTGTACTGCCATACACTTTGAACAAGGTGTTTCATGTGACAATAGACTTTTTAAAGGCTAAAAGTGATTACTGCGCAATTAAGATAGTTGCTCTCGAGAGTACTCTCAAATGTATGTCCAGTTCTCTGCTAGCACTCTCAGTACCCTATATACTGATAAATTTGACTCTCGAGAGCAACTCACGATAGTTTTACTCTCAAATAAATATGTACCCTAACGTTGATCAAATCAGTATCTTGACGATTAATTTATTTCGAAATCCTCTGGACTTCGAAGTTTTGCCGCCAAAAAAGGGAGAAGCATCATACCGGTGAATGCGACATAGAAATTATGACGTATTCGTTTATTATCAAGAAAAGTGAAATAGAGAATATTATAATATTATAAAATACAGAATATTATATATTTGAAAATTTTCGAATAAGTGAACTGGTAGTGTTACCCCCACTCCTATATCCAGTATCCTAGCAACGCCACCTGTGGATTCCTCAGTTGCTCAGTTGTCTCCAGACGTCGTACATGGTAGACGTGGTTGCTGTGTGCGTGATAAGAAGGTATTATAAATTTAATTTATCAATCTCTAAATGTTTCTAATCGTTTCTTTTAACTAATACTTGTTTAATTTTCCTTAAATTAAACGTTTATTTATTCTGTTACAGGTTTTTGGCTGTGCTAAAGGTTCGAAAAGGAGAATAACAGTCGTATTCAAAATCGACTGAAAAGGCGGGGAATTGATAGAAGCAATTCGTTCCAGTAATTATGTAAGTGGCCTCATAATTTTTTAATTTATTGCTGCTGAACAGATGGGACGTGAATTGTTATATAAAATCGAAGAATATTTCAATCGTATCGCGTGTAGCTTCGACATGAAGAACATACGATATCGCGAAACTTGTGTTTATAAAAACTAGTAAACACCAGCGACCCAAGCAGTCGGCCGAGCACGGCTGTCTCGAGGCATAGTTTTTCTATGTTAAATTCTCAGAATTCTTATTTCCGTTGAAATTTCCGAAACATAAACACAAAGGTGGCTCTGGGTTAGTATCAGTTGTAGAGGTCAATATCACGGGGGGGAATTCAGTCATTCAGTTACCGGGCTTCGAGTCGACAAGACGTGTTATTCACATTCGCGTATTCTATCATTTCTGGTAATTATCCTACGATTACTGCACTCTCTTATTACTTTTGCTTAATAAATTAATACACAGTCATATCATAAACCTCCACAATAGAGTTCGAATTAAAGTAATTATTTAATTGTGACGCAATTTCGTTTCTGTTGAATACACATGTTATAAATTAATATTTCTCTTCTGTTAAGATATCTGGTCGATAAAGAGAGCAGAGAAAGAGGAACAGAGTAGTCTCAGGGCAACGTTTATGGGTTTGATGGATAATTGGTAATATTTAATTTATTATTACAAAGCCGATCGTATGTATACATATCTTTTTTTTTTTTTTATATCATTGATTTTATGTGGGTATGTATCACTGTATGGTAATACATGGTACACATTTATTGCATAATTAAAGGAGGGTATAACTAAGTATACTTATATAAACGTTATAATTAATTGAGCAATATACTAAGATGCAAGAAGAACAGATTAAGCTTCTTTCTTTCGGACGTAATTTATTTTTATATAATTGAGAAAAGAATTCGTGGCTTGATCATTTCAAACTTTGCTTTGTAATATGGGATTTTTAATTATATAAAGTCGTTTGATTTTATTGAAATAATTCGCACCTTTTGCTGCATTTCGGTCGCGATATTTTCTAACTTCAAGAGTCATTAATATTACTTTTCCAGACTTTTTACTATCCCTATATCGAGTTCAATCACCGACACGTACAATTTTCGTCGCAAGTTTAAATATTCTCTAAAATCATTTACGTAGAATCGAATACTTACCTGTTGCTTATGGTACGGTTTAGCCATGGAATTTTACTTTGTGCAAACATTTTCGAATATTTGTAAACCGCGATATATTACGCGATTCTTAACATAGTAATAATTGTTAACTCTAGTAACAAACATTTTTATTTTTTTTACTTTTCATAAATTAATTTCATTGTGTCGCACTATTCAGTACTGCGACGTAAAATAATCTTGATAATTATTAATATTTGTGTTAATGTAAAATGTGTAGTCACGTAAGTTTTTCCATTTCTCCAACAATACAGTATTTTCTTGACGAACACTCGGTACGAAAAAAAAAGTAAACACGCCCCCCTCAACCCTGCTAACGAACAGTTTTTATTTCCAGAGATGTTGACCGCGCGCAATGCGGTCGGTAGAGTCAGTGTTTTTTGCGTACAAGGTTTTTTTCTTGTTTTTTTTTTTTTCAGAGCAACACAGCTCTTAAAGTAGACATATGTACTAAATTCACAATAAATTACGCGAAGGTAGAGTCAGTGATTTTGTTCGCCGGATATAATATACACGGTCGCGTTATTAACTTTTTATTAATTTTTTTATTCTTGCTGAAATTCGTTACCGGTATTAGAGTCAGTGCATCACTCGAAGAAATCATTGGGCGGAGCTCTCAGAGTTGAACATGTAAGTATCTATCAAAATAAAAGTTTAACAGTTTGAATCTTTTTCATTTAAAGAGTTGTTAATTGTTAAATTCTTGAAATGTCTATATGTATCTCTGTTTGAGTGAAAATTACGAGAATTTCAAAGTTCGCTGTAGTAAATAATACTGAAAATTTTGAAACAATCATCTCGTTTTCAAGAACAAATAATAATATTCCGTTCTTCTACAAAGTGTTGCAGCTTGCATCTACTGTGGTCCCTATGGTGCCTTCCTGATGATTTCCACGACAACTTCTGGTGTGCAGTGGCATCCTAGATGACTTCCTCTTAGCAGTGGCGGCCTAGATGACTTCCTCTGGGGGTGGCAGTTTGCTGTGGCAGCCTAGACGACAGCTGTAACTCAACGAACTGTGAGTCGCATGCGTTAAAGTTCCTCTGGTCACTCAATCATGTCGTAGGACGATTGGTCCGAATCGACACGGGTGACTAGTTGTAATTACGTAGTATCTTTTGACGAGCACAGTGACCGCGGGTGTGAGTATAATAACTCACTCTCGTGAGTAGTAACATTTTGTGTGATTTATTTCTTAGATCAGGTTAGGTTTTCTTGCACCGCGTCGTTTTTTTTCTATTCTGGTTAATGTTGATAATACGATATTAATTATAGTGAAACTAGTGAATTTAATTAGAAATAAACTGACTTGGATACTGGTCAAGTAAGAATATTTTCAATTTAGATATTTGTGGAATATCCACGTGAATAATTGAAAAGTCGTAGAATTTTCGTATTAAATTTAGTATGGAAGTCGAATGTCCTTCGACTTCGTCTGTTTGAAAACAGTTACCATACAGTGGTAACGATGTTGTATAGGTTTTTGTTAACATTACCAGAATAGAGACTTGTTCTATTTATTTTATCGATTAAATGCGTATTGCAAGAGTTGAATGAATAATAATATTCGTTAATAATATTCATAGAACGAATAATAATAATAATATCAAATGATTCATTTGGTTGCTTTGTATATTCAGTATAATTTTCAATCTAACTCGGGATATAAGAGTACAATTTCAAAGTAGAGTTATTCACGAGAGAAAGAAATACTATATTAAATTGAAAGATTAGTGCAAGAAGACACTTCGCGAATGTAACGGACCAGATTTCGAAGTCAAAGTATAACAGCCTTGAACTCTAATTTTCGCAAAATTTACTTTGACGACGGGATCGTCCCAGGATGATTTAATAACGTGTTTAATTTTCAGAGCCTATCAT